GCAGGGCACAGGGACAACTGATGTGAGGTGACACAACAATCGTGTGTCCTTATAGGAGCCTTAAATCTCATCCTATCCTTCCCAAGAGGGTGAAATCTTTTCCAGGATAATCTTATAATTTTCACCCTCGTTTCTACTTAACTTACGCTCTTTCTTTCTCCTCCACTAAGTCCACTCCAGCACAGAGCAGCAATCCTTTTATTTCCTAACTCCATTATTTACAGATGGTCTAACCTTGAGCTCTCGGAGCCTAAGTTTTCATTCTGTACAATGGGCTTGTTCTACGGTGTAGGGTAACGTGTACATGTTTGAAGGGCCTGGCACAGCTTCCAGCCCAAAGAGAGAGGTCGGGACAACAGTAGCTCCCGTCATGGGTCCGCTCTCATGACAAAGATAGTCACTGTGAGCTGAATGGCGGCAGAGTGACGCTGCCTTACACGATGCCTGTTCAGCTCAGGGAAATGTGTTCTCATTGAAACAAGCCCGGACGGATTGCTACGACAGCCACTAATGTTGCAGCTTTCAGATCTCCTTTCACTTTTACAAGCGATGAGCACCTGCCTTTTTCAGCCTTCCTCTCGGCCCCCTCTCCTGGTCATTCTCCTTCCTCTCTTCCTTGCAAACTATGTTTTCCACACAGCCCAGAATAACTCCCCAGTGATAAGTAAACCCCCTCAGAACTAGCTGTACACCGGACTCCGCTGCAGGCCACGGGGTTTCGGTACCCGGCAGCATGCAGATGGTTTGGGAGGGCGACGTCTAAGGAGGGTGATTTGAGATAAAGTATATTATGTTTTAAAATGTATTCATTCTCCTGTGTGGATGCCTTTAGAATCGCCAGCCACTTATGAATCAAATCAGCAATGTTTCAAACGTGAACCTGACCCTGAGGCCTGGAGTACCGACACAGGTAAGGAGCAGACGGGCCGTCAGCTGTCACTGTATTCCTCTGACTTCCCTTGTCACTTCTCCCTCCTTGACATCCCACGTAAAGGAACTGAGAAGCCATGCGGTCCAGATTAACACTGATCTGTAGTGTCACTCCGTTACCGATCTAGCCTGTCGCTTTTGCAGACCCCTCCTAATCAGTGCAGTTCATTGTCCTATTCACATACGCTGTGTTCGGTCAAGTTAATGCAGACCCTGAATGAGTGGATACTGAACCACTGATCCGGGGAGAAGGAAACGGTTAGGTTCCTGTGAGCCCCGGATCACAGCCTTTTCTTGAATCGAGCAGTGTGTAACCTTGTTTGAGGGATGTTTCTATTAAAGGCACCTCACTTACTGTGTACTATTGATTCATTAACCGTGGCCTCCCAGCCAGCAGCACTGTAGCTCCTGCCTGGGGAGAGGCCGTCTAACCCGCGTCTTTTCTCCAAAGGCCCATCTCAGCCTCTTGTGTCAAGGAGCACTAAACAGCACTACTCTCGGGAGCCATTTAAACAGCAGCATCAGCCACATAAAGGACAGTGTCAGAAGCGTGGGACCAGATAGTCCACAGAAGGGACACTTGTTGACACTGAAAGCTGAAACAAGAGGGCACAGTGTGAGCCTAGGGCCGGGGTGTGCGCTTGGGGCATCTCACATTTTCAGCGTTCTGCACGCGCCCACAAACGACCACAGTGCTGTGCGTATTAGAAATACATTTCAATGAGTGAGCAGGTTCACAGATAGAATCCACGAGTGCTGAGGATCGACTGTATGCTGCCAGGACCCTCTGCTGCAGGCCAGCACTGCACCCGCCCCATTTTCTCCCGGCCTCTCCGTCTGTTCCTGTCACTGGCCCGCCCCCACACATCCACCTCTGTTCAGCCTTTTTGGAAGTGCTTCACACCCCGTTTTGGCGCAGTGATTGGTTTCCCTTTAGATTTGAATGTCCCTTGAATGAGACTCTAAAGTGCCACCCTCAAAGTCCATATCAGAGCCCTCTTACAGCTGGGACGGGTGGCACTGTGAGGTCTTCAGTAAGGGTGCTCTCACAGTGAGTCCCAAGTTAGTTGATATGACCGGTGTATGTGCTTGCAAAGTTTCAGAATAGTCCTCATCACTGTCTGTAGAACTTAGAAGCTCACATTCTTTTTTTCTTTTTCTTTTTATTGTGAAATAAACATTTTTTTAAATTAGTTACAGGTATACAACACAGTGCAATAGTTATACTTTTTACCCCTCAAAATGACAACCCCCCTCCCCAATCCGCCACCCCACTCCCCCACTCCCAGTATCATACATATCTATTACAATTCCCTTGACTCCACTCCCACACTCTACTCCACGTCCCGTGACTATATATATATTCACTTATAGTTGACATACAATATTATACAACATCAGCTTCAGGTGTACAGTGCAGTGATCAAGCCTCTACCCCATCCATGATGCAAGACCCCTAGCAAGACATGTGACCACCTGACACCCTACAAAATATTTACATTATTAATTATATTCCCAGAACTATCTTTCACATCCCTGTGGCAATATTGTAGTTACCTACTTATGCTGTCTAATCCCTTCCCCTTTGCCCTCATCCCCACCACCCTCCAAACTAGCAACCATCACTTTTTCCTCTACATCTCTGAGACTATTTCTGTTCACTATGTCTGTTCATTCAGTTTTTTAGATTCCACATATAAGTGAGATCAGATGGTATTTGTCTTTCTTCGACTGACTTATTTCACTTAACATAATAGTCTCTAGATCCATCCATATCGTCCCAAATGGTACGATTTCATTCTTTATAGCTGAGTAACTCCATTATATAAATGTACCATAGTTTCTTTTTTTTTTTTTAGATTTTTATTGGGGAATTGGGGGATAGGAACAGCTCTGGGGAATTGGGAGAAGGGGAACAGACAAGTTGCTGTCCTTTTGTTCTTCAGTCTAGTTGTAGAGGACGTTGCTTCACTGGCCCAAGTTGGCACCATCATTGCGCTCTTCCCAGGCGAGGCAGATCAGTCACTGGCTTCTGGACAGCCGCTCACAGCGGCTGCTGGCCATTCATGCTAGCTGCTGGCTACACATGGTAGCCCATGGCAACCCACTGCAGCAGGGGCTGCAGCCTACGCCGTCGCCGGCGACTCATGGCAGCCCAGCTCCAGGTTGAGCTGTTGTTCAGCATCTTAGCTGTAGAGGGCAGTGTCACTGGCCCTCATATGTGGGATCCGAATGGGGGCCCTCTGGCATCCCAAGCCATCTCTTAACCAATGCACCACTTGGCCAGCCCATAAATGTACCATAGTTTCTTAATCCGGTCGTCTACCGATGGGCATTTCAGTTGTTTCCAAGTCTTAGCTATTGTAAATAGTGCAGCAATAAACATAGGGGTGCATATATTTTTTCAAATTGAAGCTCACATTCTTAACCACCGGTTGTTTGACTAAAATGTTCTTGCCACGTAAATTTGTTTTCCAAGTAATTTTGCACAAGACTATCCAATTTCTAATACATGGTTTCTTTTTCAACCCGTGCCTGCCCCAATGTCTTCCTTCGTGTATTGCCTCCCTTTCCCCCCCCCCCCCATTCCAGGCACCTATTAATGCACAGATGCTGGCCCAGAGACAGAGGGAAATCCTGAACCAGCATCTCCGACAGAGACAAATGCATCAGCAACAGCAAGTTCAGCAGAGAACTTTGATGATGAGAGGACAAGGGTTGAACATGACATCAAGCATGGTGGCTCCTAGCGGAATGCCCACAGCCATGAGCAACCCCCGGATTCCCCAGGCAAATGCTCAGCAGTTTCCATTTCCTCCAAACTACGGTACTGGACTTACATCCCCACCACCTCTCACCAGCCCTTTCTCCCCAGTGTCCCCCAGTCCTGGGTCACAGCTCCTCTCTCACAGCTCTTTGCATGGCTCCCCGATGAATCTGGCTAACCAGGGAATGCTAGGAAACCTGGGAGGACAGTTGGGGCCTGTCAGGGCTCCCCAAGTCCAGCACAGTACCTTCCAGTCTCTCAGCTCAGGTACCACCTTTTCTCTGAGTGCAGGTCTTACTTTAAGAATGACCGAAGTAAGTGTGAGTGTGTAGCGTGTATCAGTCGCATGCGTGAGCGCGTGTGTGAGCATGCGAGCATGTGTGAGCATATGTTTCTCTATATCTGAACACGAGTCGATGTGTATGTATTTATATTTGAAAACCTCTGAGTCTGACTCAAACAAATCAATAGATATAAACAAAACGTTGAAAGACATATATAAATGTAAATATTAGACATTCTACAACTTTTACAAAATAAAGACTTTAAAGATCTTACCAAATCTTTAATGAGTAGATAATTCTTGAGACGTGCTATATCGAAGCCACAGTGGAAAATCTCTTAGTTTTCTTCATATTGATTTGTTGTTTAATGTCAGTCTTAAGAGACAAGTGTATAATGTCATAAATGTTAATACTTGTGTGCATGTCATGTTCAATTAATAGTTGAATTATTGATAAAAGTATTTAATATTAATATTCAAAATGACTCCCTATCGTTTACCAGCGTTACCTTTAAATAGCTATCGAGTCTTCGTGGTGCCTAAATTCATGTCTCCCATTTCTTTAAAGAAACAGAAAGATAATGTGCAGCTTTTTCCTGTGCGATCTTAAACTTTTCTTTTGTAGCTAACTTAGATAAAAAGTAAATATGCATGTTTTACACTAATCTAGTCAAAAATGTGCTTACCTTAACTTCATCCCTGAAATTTTCTAAGAAGTTGCCTCCTTTATTTCCAAGCTTCTTGCCTCCTTTTTTTTTTGATGATTTACAAAAAAGTCTTCTAAAAGTTCTTTTTTTCCTTGTAGTGTAAATGCCATTTGCTTCTGAATTGAACAAGAAGCTTGCATTGAATTTTTTTCTTAGTCTTGTGATGTTGGATATCACTAAAGTACCATGGAGCCCTTTACAAAGACAGACAAGCTAATTGCGAATGCAGTTACTTATTTTTAAAAACACATCTAATATAGAATGACTTGAGTTAATTCAATAAAAATTATTCAAATGTGTTGACTTTTTATATATAGTTAAACTTTATTCAAGTTTAAACTTTAAACGGTCCTTAAAATTATATATATATATATACACACACACACACACACACACACACACACACACACACACACACACACACATACATACATATATTTGACTCATTCTTGATTTGGATAGTGATGTGGGAAAGCAAGAGTATTTTCTCTGTCTACCTCTACCCATGATAGTTAAGATGGTTCCTAAGCACCCCTATAACTGCTATAGAGAATCAAGACGTGGAGATTTTTCTCTTCGTGCATTTTATCC